TCGCGGTCGATGCGCAGTAGCTCAGTCGAGCCAGACGAATGTACATAGAGGCTCACCACCATGTTTACATTGTGTCCCAAAAATATCGTGAGTCGTGAATCGTGATCTTAAGAAATGAAACATTGATTCGTCTTCTCTCAAAATCTACTTTGACTAGAATTACTAGAGACTGGCCTGTATATACTGGTTTCAATACTTTTGTATTCAATGCAATAAAACTCAAAGTAGATTCATTGAACGAAAAAGATAAAAACTGTATGATCTGCATAGATGAAATGTCTATAAAATCTCATTTATTTTATGATTGCAAAAGGAATTAATTCGAATTGGAAGCAGCCTATTGCATATTTTTTTTACATTCAACAGCCCCAGTTCCAGATTTGGAAGAAATCCTATATAAATCTATCACAGAGCTAAAAAATATTGGATTGAATGTAATGGGGGTGATTTCTGATCAGGGGTCGAATTGTTTTGAATTAGTTGAAGAATTAGAAATAACTATTGAAAAGTCATACTTCTGTGTAGGCGATTCAAAGATATGTTAACGGTTCACGTTTCCCTGTCTTAAATTTAGATTTACTCTCTACTGACATTTTATTGGAACAGATACAGGGTGATCAGAATTCTGAATTTTGAACCACCTTCGTTACTGTGAATATGTAAACACTAGACCAATTTGCTTGAAATGATAATTCATGTGATTTATTATTTTTCCGTTTTTTTGTTTTCGGAGTGTGTTGCTTTGTTCTTTGGTGCAAGAAATCGTCATCAGAAAATTCCAGGGATGTTTCTTTTCATAGGTGAGTCAGTAAAAGATATCTTTAGACAAGTTATTATTTTAAATTGCTTTCAACTGTAGAGGAACTAACAAATGGAACCATTGAATATTTTGTATATTTATTCAGCTAGGCAGCTCTTTAGGATTGAAAGTTTTCTCATTCAATCCTACTCATGATGTAGATGTAAGGTTCAAGTAGTAGATGAAAATATGAATATGAACTCGAATTTTATAAATGTACAAAGAATATAATTTTTTATAGGTGCAAGGATACCTACTCTATCAAAATGCATTCAATATCTTGCATCTGCTGAATTCAGATAATTTCTACAGATTTGTTTTGTTAGCTGATATCTATAATATGACTATAGTCTTTGCTCCGATCAGAAATTCTTAACGTTTTTCGGTTTCCGCTAGAAATCGGCACCAACCAAGGTTGTTGTAGAATTTATGTTTGTAGAGGAAGGTTGCCTCAGTCAGAAATCGCTTTGAGGGGAAGTGGTCATTCCTGATGTCATTACAACAAAAAATCATCGCGGAGTTATGGGAATGTAAATATTACTCACCGCATTTACTGATCGAGGGAACCTTCCTCTACAAATAAATAGTGGTCTAAAAAACACGCTTTCATAGCCAAACTAAAAAGCAGTAGAAAATTAAATAATTAAAGTATGTTGATAAACACACAATATAGAATATACATACCTAGTGACCCTGTATATTTTTTTTTATATCTGGATTCAGGGGATCCTTTTAAACACACGAAACCTGTTTTTATCAAAATGAAGAATCCAACTTCTAATTGAAAATTGAATGTTGGGATTGCTTCCGGTTCAACCGGAAGTGATAAAATAAATATGTTCTGCTAATATAGCAATTTAGTATACTTGCTATCCACCAAATTTCAAAATCTGACCTGGAATGATTCAGAAGTTAGAGCACTGGTCGTTCTTTTGTGCACAAATAATATTGATGCCTGAGGCTAACTTTTTATGAGAAACTAGTGAAAACCATATATCAATATAGGGGGTCGCATTTAAATAAGTGCAAATATTTCAAACACTGAGGAAGCTCAACGTGTACTATGGAATGGCACTAATAAAAAAAATTTAGGGATCAAAATAAAATTTGGGGTTAGACCCTTTCTTCCACCCAAAGTTCTACACTGTAGCAAATCTTCACTTCTGTTCAAACTTCCACGTGTTTAAATTGTTTTAAATAAGTGGCATACTTGATTTTTTTCTCGTATTTGGTTCAATTTTTGTCAATTAGAAGAATTAGAAAAAATCTGATATCATGGGAATATTCCTTAGACTATATCATATTAATGTGCTGAATATGTGCACTTATTTAAAAAAACACCTTGTATACAGGGTGATTCAGGTTTTAAGGCACAAACTGAAATGGAAGATAGATCTCATCATTTTAATCAAAAAAGTTTATACAAACATTAGTCCGATCTCGTTCAATAGCGGAGCTACAGGGGGTCAAAGCTGAATTATTTTCTTCTATTAGTTGAAATATCTCGCTTACTTTTCAAGATATCATTTTGAAATTCGGTGTGGTCAATACTTCCTAGAAGATGATCATTTCAAGCCATCTAAAGATTTTAATAATCTACAGGGTGATACGTTTATGGGGGTAGACGCTTCCTTATTCCCCCCAAACTTTTCCGTAATAAGTCTCTGGCATCTTTCAGTGCGATCAAATTATGTGGATCGTTCAATTTAGAGGCTTTTTTGCTCTTCAAGTTTTTTCGAGAAATGAACCGTTTTTGAGATTAATAAGCATATACGTTCTAAAACATGTTAATTTTGCCTATGTTTCGCTTAAATTTTATTCAACTGAAAAAAAAAAAACCTTGACTTTTTACCCTCTGTATCCCCAATACTGATCCAGATTGGACTCGTGATTGCAATTTTAGTGAGTACATTCCATTGCATTTTCAACGAAAATAAAATGTAAGCGAAAAAGTTTGGGGGGATAAAGAAGCCTCTACCCCCAAAAACGTATCTCCCTGTAGATTTTAAAAATCTTTAAATGGCTTGAAATGATGATCTTCTAGAAAGTATTGACCACACCAAATTTCAAAACGATATCTTGAAAAGTAAGCGAGATATTTCAATTAATAGAAAAAAATAATTAAACTTTGACCCCCTGTAGCTCCGCTAATAAACGAGATCGGACTTATATTTATATAAACTTTTTTGGTCAAAATGATATGTATTTCCCATTTCAGTTTGTGCCTTAAAACCTGAATCACCCTGTAATTTTGGCAGATGCAATTAATATTTCCTTCTCCAAAGGATCATTTCCCGCCTGTTTAAAAATTGCCACCATAATTCCACTGTATGAAGGCGGAGATCATGATATCCCTGCCAATTTTAGACCGATTTCCCGGTTACCAATCCTATCAAAAATAATAGAAAAACTGGTAAAAACAAGAGGGTATCATCCTTCTTGAGGAAGTTTAACATACTGAGTTCCAATCAGTTTGGCTTCCAAGCCTCAAAAAGTACAAATGATGCTATTTTTTCCTTTCTAGAAAATCTTTACCTAAATCTGAATGATAGAGAGGTAGCTGCGACAGTTTTTTGTGACTTATCCAAGGCGTTTGACTGCGTAAATCATAGAATACTGCTGAAAAAACTTGGAATATATGGATTCAGAGGCAATGCATTGTCATGGTTCAGATCTTATTTAACTGAACGTCGCCAAAATGTCTTACTTAATGGAATTGAATCCAATGAATGTGTTGTCAACTCTGGTGTCCCACAGGGCTCGGTTCTGGGACCTCTTTTATTCTTGTTGTATGTCAACGATTTGAATCAGTTGGACATCCAGGGTAAATTCACAATGTTTGCAGATGACACCACAATCCTATGGCACGATAAATCAATAGCCGATCTATTCGATCACATTAGTGTGGATGTAATAAGGGTGAAAGAGTGGTGTGATGCAAATCTCCTATCATTCAATGTCAACAAAACGAACATCGTATCATTCAGATGTGACATCAGGGAGGTTTCATTAGATGATGGAATAATTAGCAATACCGCGGAAAATAAGTTCTTGGGATTATTTATTGATGAAAAGTTAAGATTCGAAAGCCACATTAACAAGTTGTGTAAAAATTTAGCATCGGGTTGCTTTGCTGTACGTAGAGTGTTTCTCACGAATTGGATATTGCTGATGCTAGGCAGGTTTATTTTTCATTAGTAGAGTCCCATCTACGCTATGGCATTTGCTTTTGGGATATATGTTCACAGCAACTGTTTGAAATGGTCTTTACCCTTCAAAAAAGAGCCATTAGATATTTATGTAAAGCCAAATGCCGCGATTCATGTAGACCATTGTTTTTAGAGCAAAGGATTTTAACACTGGCAGGTCTTTTTATTTTAGAGACAGGATGTCTAATTCACAAGAAATACAGAAATGATATAAACAACTCGTCAGTATATAATACACGTTTAACACACCATATTGCACTCCCCATCCCTACGTCAGCTCTTACTCAAAATTCTCTTATTTACAAGAGCAGAAAATTGTTCAATCACCTACACAGCAATTTAAAAGAAATACAGAGTGTATCCAGATTCAGAAAAGAAGTGAAAGAGTTCTTGGTTGTGAGGGCCTATTATACTACAGAGGAATTTTACGAAGATCAATTTAGCTGAGTTTTTATTAATCTGATCAAGTAGGATACAACTTTTTGCACTTTCCATTTTAGTTTAAATCATTAGCTGTTAATGTATTTTACCTGACCTTACCAATATTTACACTAAATTTACATTTTACGCCCATTAAACACTGTGCAATGTATATATATATACAATATTTTTTTAATGATGTGTGGACAAAAATTTTTTTATTTTTATTTGTATTATTGATTCACTATCTTGTGTATTGTCCAAAAAACTGTTTTCAACATTTGTGTGTATATTGGAACTATCAACATTTAAATTTAGGATTCCAGACTTTGTCAATAAGATGTATCTACCTTCAGACAATAAAGTATTTTGATGATGATATATTCGTTTCAGTGTTTCAATTGATAATCTGCATTTTTGAAAAGTTGCACTCATTTCTTCAGCAAAAAAATGTATTTCAAAAACATTCTCAAAGCATTGAATTCATCATGAAAATTGATTCCCAGGCACTGAATCTCTCTCCCAGTTCTATCACATCACCATAGGTTCATCCTAGGAACTCCAGAAAAAAGGGGAATAATGTAAAGAATTAATATATTAAAAAAATTCAATTTCATAGGCACATTATATTCAGTTTCTATTTTTCCTTGTTCTCATTGGTGTTTTCATCTGAACTTTCTTCACTACTTTCTTCCTCTTCTTCATCATCAGAATCTTCATAGTCATCATCATCTTCATCTTCATAAAAATCACCAGTTCCATAACTGTAACTTCCTGAAGCTTCATTTCCATATTCTTCATCATACCCAGACTGTCCTTGACGTCCAAATTTGTGACTACGAGCTGAAAAAAAAAAGTTATCATACCTTCATCATCTTTCCTTGAGGTGTTTCAATATTAATAATTTCTCAAAGTGTTTTATCACCCTGAAAAAATACAACACCCCATATTATAACAACCTATAACAACTATGTAGTATGTGAAGTATGCTTTCAGAACAAACCTTTTAACATAATTTTCAATTCCAAGATAAATATTAAGAATTTGAAATTTGGATGTGAAGCAAAAATACTTACTTGACATGCTAAGGTCCTTTGTCTGAGATGTTTCAAAATTGCATTTAGGACAAGGAATAGCCTTGTTCTTATCATATTTGAAACCTTTTCTTCTGACATGATCTTCACAATAGCAAGTTTTGCATCTCAAACAAGAATATTGCCCAAGTTTATTACAGGATTGGCCTGCAAAATAAAAGTTGAAATAGTTGAAAAAATTCTCAAAACTTGAAAATATTGAGTGGATTTCAAATTAATAAGTATAGTGATCCTTTTTTTTTCAGGGAAAGTAGTTTGGGCATTTGAAGGGTGTCCTTGTTATACACATGTATAAAACTGGGTACAGATACAATTTGAAAGAAAACATTTATAGCATTTTCCTTATCAGATCATTATGTATTGATTCATAAAAATGCAAGTAGGAATGTTTATTATTATTCTATGAAATTATTCTACATTATTTCTGGCAGATATGATGTAGCATAAGTAATATTTTAATAATATTGTAGGTAACTTATCTACAGTAGCTTAAACAAAGTTAGAATTATAATTAAGTCTAGGTAGGTATATTCAATTTTTAATTGATTGCCTGCTGGGGTAAAAGACAATAGCTAAATAATTATGGAATATTAGTAAGGTGAATATACCTTGATAGGAGATATGAGCAAAACATGGTCTCTAACAAATCTGATAGAACCATATGGTTGAAACAATGAAAACTTACACTTATAATTCTCTGAATCTAAAACTTGACAGGATGCTTGATGCTCAAACTGGTCATCTTCACACAAGAAATTTGTGCAGAAAGAACACCTAAAGAGACGTCCTCCATGATCCCAAACTCCTCGTTCACATTCAATACAAACAGCTTCTTGTAATGGGCAACTACAAGCATGAGATTGAAGACATTTTCTCCCATGACAAATCCATGCTTCACAAAAGTCACATATGGCACCCTACCAAAATTAGAGACAAAATTGAATTCAAGCATATTTTATATATCTGATATTTCTGATATGCTTACCACCATGCCCATTCCTGTAGTGTACACTCCTGGATGTCTGATTACACAATCTCCTGTTTTGAGCATGCACTTCATTTTTCCACATTGAGCACATACTGGCAATCTTTGAATACTCTGACAAAAATAGCAGAAAGCTCTACTTCTCTGTTTGCTACAAAAAAAATGATATGAAGAAAACAAGGTGCAATATTTTAATATACACACCGATTGCATTTTTCACATTCCATTGCAATATTACATGGATGTTCTGCAAGTTGAATATTCTCTTTGGCTGTTCGAATTTCCTTTTGCCTGAGCTTTTGCTTCTCTGCTTTTTTTCGCTGCCCTGTCTTTTTCTTGGGCATTTTAATACAATATCGTTCGGTTCAGAAATCTAATAAAAAATGTAAAAGATACAAAATACAAAATTCATTTTCTTTTCATATAAATGAGAAGTGACGTCAGCGCCGTCAGCGGTCCCTGTCACCCTGTCCATGACGTCATTGACGTCAGATCTGTGCTCACTGCTCCGCACCATTGTAGGCACGACTCCGTTTTGCCCAGACATATGCATAGGCGATTCCTATAGACCAATCAGAACAATCCAAAAGAAGCGCCTGCCTCTATAGCCACGGTCATAGACATCTCTATGGCCACGGTCCAACCGTTACCATCGAGAGTAGTCTCTAAGCATCTTATTCACATTATACTATCAATAAGTTCTTTCTTAATACTTTAATTTTCATTCCTGAGTACCTCCGTTAATCAATGGTTGTGCGTTCGAATGCCAGGAATTTTCAGTAGACTTGATACTGTGCCAATTGAGGGTATTGGCTATTATTTACTATGTTGTGAGAACATTCGTTATTCGAATTTATCGTCGATAACAGTGATATGAATTTACCAACATTGCCAAAATCGCTCTGATTTGTCTTTTATACCACCCTATACATAGGTTTGGGCAAAACGGATTCGTGCGACCTGTAGAGGTGACTCAAGGCTATTTTAGAAGTTGATAGACCTTGGAGGTGGCTAGGGTCCCTTGATGGAAATTGACGTTAAAGTCGAGTTAAGATGACTTGAACGTCAATTTCCATCAAGGGACCCTAGAGGTGGTAAACTAATGATGGTACTATCGATAGTTTTTCGAAAATATTTATTATCGATATTGTTGAAAAAAACATCGATAGTTGAGAAATGGACTTCAAAAACAAGTTCTGTGTCATGAAGATGATGAAAAAGTGAGAAATTTGAAGAAGAAAAAAGAATTTTATTGACAGTCTCATATTTGATAAACTCGTAATTTTATATTTTCTGTCCTAAAAATATTCACCACAAAAATCAATTACATGATCTCTGTCAAATGTCAATTATCTGATAAAATCGATAGATTCTCTTCGAACTATCGAGACTATCGATAGTCAATACTATCGATAGTTTGCCACCTCTATCGAGCTGACGCGTGACGTGAATAGATCATTGTTCGACTAAAGGTCGAAGAATGAAGCCGACAACAATGGCTCTTTCCTGGTCCGAGACGCTTGTGTTATCCAAAAAATTATACGACAGTTGGTTTGATATGAAGGAGTAGAAACAAATCGGGGAGCGCTCCCCAGGGAACATTCTACTCTATCACCGTCAAGAATCGCGGCCCTGGTGTCATCAGCCTGTGAGTGACACGTAGGTGACACATGACTCACACACAACATACTTGCTGATTTTGGCCTTGAATTTTGTCGAAGCTATCACTGTTGCCAGATAACTTTATAGCCACGAGGATTCAATAACGTAACGTAATAACGCAAGTACTTCTATTACACGATAGTAGATGAAACATAGGATTTTTCCAGTACTGTCTATAGAATGTCGTTCAGCAACACCATATAATAATATGATCGTACAAAAACAGCCAAAATGTGGACAAAACGATTAGAAACTGATTTCAGATAAAACTAGTTGTTTATAAAAAATGTTCGCTAGTTTTACTTCAATAATATCAGAATTTTGTATGAAGAGGAATTTCAGATCCACTAAGTTGGAAATACAGCTCAGAGTGCTCAGGAGGTGACCGAGGAATATGGAGGTCTTTTTTACTTTTTAATACAAATGGAGTTCATGTTTCTCCGAAACTAGGATGCATGTACTGTAGAAACACCTATTGTAATACCCGATAATCTGCTCTACATTGAAAGCATAGTATTGTAAAAAAGCAATTTTCGCAATACATAAAATTTCATGACAGTAGATGAGATACATTTTTGCGATAACTTAAGTCTTTATCTATTGTTTTTACAATACATGAAGCTTAATGTATTGCAAAAATGAGTTTTTGCAACAGATTGATTTTCAGGTTTCGATCTAGTTTCAATTATCTTTTTCTTCTTCTCTACTTATCTTAAATCATAAAATGCATAATATTTTTGAGTTCTGTGCTCTTGATGTCCAGATGTCAAAAGTCAAAAACAAAAAAGATTTATCAAAATTCCGAGAATGTATAAAATAAAAAAGGTATTTGATTAATCTGTATTTAAACATTTTCGAGTACTGGTGGAGTGAGGGACATTTGCAAACATTTTATAATTACAGAGGCATTCCATGAGCTGTTTGCCCCTTGGTATGGAAATGAGTTATTTTTCTTGTACAAATTAAAATAGGTATATATAGCTTCTAAATGAGTAGTGTTCTGAGAAATTAGAAAGGTGGATGTAGGCCATTGTAAAGCTAAATGAATGTGATGGAAACTCACCACTCACCTCACCATTTTGACAGTTTTATATAATAACTAAAGGGCATAAGGGTGTGAAGAGAAAACAGTTTTGATCTTACCTTTCATAAAAGGCGAATTAAAATATTAGAGGAATGGTATGATGTACGACTAATCGACTATCTTCAACAGTTCTCAATAATCTCAATAAGCAATAAGTACCCGTTTCTCTCTTCAACGGCTTCATAATAGATGAAGTCACAAGTCAGTGATTATTTTAAACTTTGGACTCTCTGCTATAGAGGTCCACAGGCCGAAAAAAAAGAAGAAGTCATTATCTTTTTCTTCTCGAGCTTTATTTATCTTTTTAGTTTTTACCATGTTTTTACTTACAATACATGAGGCTTAATGTTTTGCAAAAATGGGTTATTGCATTTGATGAATTTTGCTATATCAATTATTTCAATACATGAATTGTTCAAATGTTTGTTTTTACAATACATTGCTAGTTAATGTATGGTATAAATCAGTTTTTGCAATACATTGAAATCAATGTATTGCAGAAACTATATTTTTACAATACATTGCTTGTAGTGTAGCTCACCATCGTTTTTACCATACATTGCAAGTTGGTGTATTGTAAAAACGTTTCATTTTTGCAACACATTGCGGCAATGTATTGTAAAAACGTTTCATTTTTGCAACACATAGTGGCAATGTATTGTAAAAATGCCAATTTTCGCAATACATTGCAGCAATGTGTAGCAAAAATAACAGTTTTTGCGATACATTGCCCTTCAAGTATTGTAAAAATGTCAATTCCTGCAGCAAACTATCGCAAAAACACAATTTTTCCATACATTCGATCCAATGTATATTAAAAAGTAAAAAGGCACTCCATAGAGGAACGTGTATATAACTACGGTGTAAGTGAATTTTCTCCTGGATTTGATTCTCGACAACAGCGAAATAATCTTTCATGTCATCACTTGGCATCACTGCGTAGGAGCCACGTAAGATTGACAGTGACGTTTAAAATAATTTAGAAATTTATTTTCTCCTTCTTGTCCAAAATGTGGAAAATAATTTTTGAGAAAAATATGTGAAGACACACGAACTAGTATCTGCAACTAATATTTGAAACAGAGTGAGTAGTGTATAGTGTTTTTACTATTTATTATTTGAACAAATTTCAATTAAGCTTATTTAATATAGAACAATAATGACAATAATAGAGCAGAAGAGCAACTCATTCAGGTTCAAAGTCAAGTAGTAATTATGTATGAAAGTCTTTGAGCAAAATTTAATTACAATTGCAAAGTGTGTATATTTTGATTGGGACTGCAAAATGAGAGGGTTCAATATTTTACACAACTTTCATTTTTACTTTTTGCAAAAATTAACAGTATCAGTATTCTAGATAACTATTCATTAGTCATAGAGTTCATGTGAAAAACAAATTTTATATTATGTTATTTCTGCCTTTTTCATCATATCACAGGATATTCAAGTTGTTTTCCCAAATATAAAGAATTTGTACAATCCTTGATACAATCCACAAAATGATGGTGAGTACACACTCAAAGAACTTAATCCTTCTCTTTTTGTCTTTGCATAGTAATTCTTATAGTGTGTATATTGACATGTGAAATGTTCCAAATTGAATTCATAAAGAAAATGAGACACCAAAGAGTTCCTCTGAGAGTTTAAATTTACCATGATTTTTTAGGGTGAGGTTTGCTGGTTTGCTACTAATTTAAGATGTCAGATGTTAATAACCTCGGCGCCACATTCATACATTATTTCATTTCTGTTGGTCCAAAAACTGGTAGATTAATTATTATTGTTGATCAAAACTATTTAAAACTTCTTGGACCTTCGGATTTTAATTTAAATGATTATTTTTTTTACATGTCAAAATGTGACGTTTTCCTTGTTTCAACCAATATCAATGCGTGATTCTAGCCAATCATTCGGAATCATACTGATAATTTGTTAGTATCAAATTACCGCGATGACTTATTCACGTTTGGATCTTCCTTCAAATGGATACAAAAAGGGACCCATAGACTGCGATGTTGATAGGCTGTTTTGTTCGACTAACAAGTCTGTTCGAACAAAAATTGCGCACAACCGAAGTGTGTGGCTGTAAAATGTTCGTTTTCGCTGGCCACACACTTTAGTTTTGTGTCTTTTTTGTTCGAACAGACTTGTTCGACGAACAAAACGGCCTACCAACAACGCAGTCTATGGGGCACCTTTAGAGAATTAGCATTGACTTGACTTGGTTGTCAAGGTAACGCAGCTATTTGTCTCAATGTAAACATTTCGAATTCAGAACCGACGCCATTGTTAAGTATCAGTCAGACTTCGTATTTTGTGATTTTCTCTAACGTTTAAACGAGTTGGTATAGGTTCGGAAAAACTTTACAATTATTATTAGTCATTAACAGAAACCGACATGAGCACGAGATTTGGTCAAAGCTCGGCTGATTCAATACATTTAGCTGTCGAACAAGCAACACCAATCAACACCACAAAAAGCAAGAATACGATATGGAAACAGTTTTTGGAGTTCTGCCTTGAACGTAATTATGAGTTGACTGCAACAACCGAGATGAAACAAATCGCATCAATTATGGAGGACTGGGCATATAACATGCGAAAAAAAAATGGAGAAAACTACAAAGAATCTGTTGTCAAAACTTTGTGGAATGTCACCGCAAAACTTATCCAGGAAAAATATTTCAGGGAGTATAATAGAAACATTGATCCGTTCACTGATATTGAATTTAAGACCGCGCGAGATGCGCGGAATTGCAAACGTCGAGAACTTCAACATATTCCTGAAAAAAGAAAAGCATCTTCTGTTGCTCTCAAGAAAGAAGAAATAGAAAAAATGATAGCAGCATGGGACGAAAATACTCCAAATGGCTTACAAAGGAAGTTTTATCATACTGCTAGCTACGAATTGGCTTGGAGAGGCGGAGAAGCGACAAAAGCATTAGTACAGTATTTTAGAGAAGAAATGGATCATTATGGAAATCAAACTGGAAGGATAGAATATAATCCAATAATTTCTAAAACAGCACAAGGAGGATCGCACAGGTTATCTGATAGCAAATTTTTAACGCCAAATGAAAATGAGACTGAAAAATGTCCAGTACGTCTCTTTCGGAAGTTAATGTCGAAAAGAAGTGCAAATATTCAAATTGATCGTTTATTTTTAACACCTAATCCAAATTGGCAGCAACCTTTGTCTAAGGGGTGGTACAAAAATCTTCCGGTAGGACAAAATGAAATAGCAAAATGGACAAAACAAGCGGCCCGAAAGATTGGCTTGGATCCTAGCAAAATCAAGGTTACAAACCATTCACATCGTTCTTCTGCTGTGACACAACTCGCTAAAAGTGGAGTAAGTGAGCAGCAGTTGTTGAAGATAACTGGACATTCATCTGCAAGCTCCATCAAACCCTATCTTCAACTTGACAAAGAGCATCACGCAAGCATGATAAACAACTTGAGAGGAAACACTGTTTCGACCTCTTCATCTCAAGGAAATTGTACAATAACATACAATAATTGCACCATTACAAACGTAAATTGTAAACATTCTTGATTGTTTGATATATAATTATTTGATATATAATTGTTTGATATATAATTGTTTGATATATAATTGTTTGATATATAATTGTATGATAAATGATTGTTCAATAAATAATTGTTTAATAAACATATTCTGGGGCATTTTGCGAAATAGTAAAAAAAATAATCACGCCGAATTACATTCGTGTTGGTTATTTTTTTAAATAATTTTAACTAGATTTAGCACTCGTCTTTGTTGCTATTGAGAAATCCCACTCGTGGACTTCGTCCACTCGTGAAATTTCTATAGCAACAAAGATTCGTGCATCTAGTTAAAATTATCAAAAAATTACCACCACTTGTGTAATTACTGTTGATAATTTATAATTGACAAATGACAATACATTGCTGCTGACTCCTGAGTACTGCCAAGACAAATGAAACAAAATCTCCCACCCTTTTTGTGAAGGCAATTGATTCAAATTTGTAAACAGAAAGAAAGCTTATCATAAAAGGGGTGTTTCAAAGTATGAACCTCTATCCTCTATGAACATACAATTTTTAGAAACCAAAGTTATGAATAGCAGACAACTATTTTTTCATTATTCTTCTTGGTATGAACATAGATATAAATGTATTTAGATATATGGTGTGGATGAATAAACAAGAATATATAAAAAAATATGAACATGTCTCACAGTAACATGAACATAGAGGGTGTAAAAATTGCTTCAAAACTGCTCAACAAAATTTCTTGATATTCTCAGGGGCATCCTGACAGACAGGAGGTGTGGGTGTATAAACAATAAAGGGAGGCCTAAATATTTTTCAGACAATTCACTCAAAACAAAATTTAATTATTAAGTCAAGGATGGACATACTACATACTATGAACATGGAAAAATATATGCCACAGGCAAGGAGTCAAGGTTGTGGGTGGCCATGAAAATCTCAATAAAAATTGTGGAAATAATTTTATCAAAATCATGAAAGGGCTCACCATTTTGGCAAAAAAACAGAAAACCAAAGTTGACATTTTGCAAAAAGAGTAGTTGGTTCATTCAAGCTATTGAAGAATTTTTTTAGAAACATACAATCCATTTTACTTGTGAAAATTATGAGGAAAATTTCATATCAGTCATTTTCAACCAATCAGATGCTTCATTTCAACAATAATACTATGGTAACCAGCAAATTTTTTTGGCCATTTTTCATCCACATGATCATGTAGATGTTAAGTGGAAATTTTCTGGCACATAACAGCTAGGTATCATATAATTAGACAAAATTGAAATAATTTTGACAATATTTTTTATTTTCCGGAAACCCAGTAGGAAAATCATAAGAAATCAATTATTTTTATATAATAATGTATCTGATACTATGAATTTTATTTTACTTCTGTACAGGTAGAGTACGGCTCTGTAACAAAACAGCGCCAGACAAAATAGCGCGCGACAAAATAGGCTAGGCGCTAGGATAACTCAGCATCAACTTTTCCACCTATCCCTCTCTGAAAATCAAACAATTTGGTACTCAATACTCTTATAATTCATTAATTCATATCGAGTGAACACTAAAGACAAGTCATCAATGAACAGAACATAAATAGAGAACTTATCAGCGTGTCTAACAATGTTCATATTGATCATATTATATAGATAAATTTAACGCTACTGCTCATAAGTAGTGTTTCACCTTTCGAAAAGAGTCAATCAGGTTCTGCAACCTCTTCTTTTGCTGTACATATATTTACAGTTTGCTCTCTCCTCGCTTCTGAAACCCGCACGGTATCTACTCATTTGAGTTTCTACATAAGACTGCTTCTTTTTGAGGCGATCCAGCAACCGAAAAATGGAAGGGTGATGACAGTTCAGAGTTTTCTGGAATGCGTTATGCCAGGGCTCTAATGAATTATCATTCTTTGGTAAATCATGAGAAACTCTAGTGAACATGTTCCACCATGCAACTGAGAACCGAGGTGGAATGTTGTGAAGCCTTATTTTAATATGAGTGCTTTCCCAATAATCAATCACTGGCTGAAGTTCTCTCGGACACTTTTCAGTTATAATTTCGAAAGCAAACTGTACGTCATTCTCAGGTGCAAAGCTCAAAGAAAGTAACATATTCTTCAGTTTCAGCCTTGTCACTTCATTTGTACGGTACACCTCCGTGCGTTAGTTTTCTTGTATTTTGACTTGTTCCCAAGTGCAAAAAACAGCCTACTATACGTGCATCTGGAAACACTTTGGCTATGGCATTCATGGAAGCTGTTTCAAAGTCGGACAGAATACTTATTGGTCTCAGAAGGGGTTCAATCTGTTTAAGCTTATCAAACACTAGGGTATATGTCCCTTGCTGCTTGTTACACAATAATGCATAAATTACTGGAACAGCCTTTCCATAAATGAGCACATATATTGTATACATCTGGGTGAAGAATTGTGGTGCAACTTTGAATGTATCATCTACGCCCCAGTGATGACATTCTTTGAGTAGATCTATATTGCTGCGAGTTCCGAACATAATTATCCTATTATCATATTATTATAGTCCCAGGGCAAGAACATCTCTCCCCTTTCAGTTGTCTGGTACCTATCTTCTATAACTATGTCTGCAACACATTTAGGCGAAGCTGTTCCTGAATGCTACTTATTCCTTTGACGCTGTTCTTGCGGCATTGTAGCTAGGAAGATAAATACAAGCTTCTGTCGATCCATCAGAAATAATAGCAAGGCGCTCTTATTATAATGAATATTTGTCAGAGCGCTGTATTGTCGCGCGCTGTTTTGTCGTGGCGCTGTTTTGTCGCACGCTGTTTTGTCTGGTGCTATTTTGTCTGGCGCTGTTTTGTTACAGAGCCGTAGAGTAAATATTCACTTTTATTTTTACCAATCCCCATGCATGAATTAATTGCGGGAAATTTGTCTCCTACATGAATTTTTAAAGAAAATTATCCCTGGTCGCTTCACGACTGGTG